AAAACTGTGCAGGCTTCAATGATAAGTTTTTGTATGGTTAAATTAGATTCTGATATGTTTCTAAGCCCTTTTTGCCAACTTCTATCTGTATCTAAAATTATATTACACCCCACAGCTTGTACTATTTTCACTGAAGTGTTCCCCCGTCACACAAAAGATACCTCCAATTCCAAAAACAAATCTGCCACACAATACATTCCAGTGTGTACGCAGATTGGCATATAAACTCTAGTAATTACAATTCATCAAGGTTAGCATATTTAGCAAACTGAACAAAAAAAATCCACAATGACTCCATTCCTGGAAATCATGCCTCCGTTAGAAAGGGAGATCTTTAAGACTCAAAGTACAATTTACAAATATTCATGGTTTTAACAATATAAAACATTTCTGTTCATGATGTAGAAATGGTTAAGGCTAAATTTTAAGATTCTTTTTGATTAGCTGCTGATGCTGGTGTTCAGCCCAGATAGGACTTAGTTAATGCTGACAACCTCAAATTTAACCTCCTATTCCACCTCAAACCAGCATGAATGATAAAGTCCTCCTACTCTGTTCTATGAAGCCAAGACTTCACATATCCATAAACCCAACTATTCAGAAGAGAGAGCAATGCTGCTGTCTAGTTAAAATTGGTGGAAACCTCAAGCAGACCATGGCAAGAAAGGTAAATTTAAGGACAGTCAAACACTTGATCCATCATCCTGGTTCATGTAACTTTATGCATATCCCAAACCCCACCTGGGGTGATCCTAGGGCTGAAGTTTTACCTGAAAAACAGATTTAGACCTTCATGGACCAAAGACTAGCTTTGTATTCAGTAGCAAAACTTCAAGCTTAACACTTTTTATGGTCCAACAACAGGCTCCAGCATTACCTGTATCCCACACAAGACTAACACTAACAAATCGGTCTCCTCTCCTTTCAGGAGGAAACTCAGATGCTGTTTGTTCCTAAGGACGAAGGCCACATAAACAAAGCAGAGAAAATGCAACTAACATGTTTTCACTTTCCCTTACTGACCAGTTTCTCTTTCACAACCTTTGCCTTTCATGAATGCCTTTCATCGGCTGCCTCAGTTAACCCAGTGCAGGGCTGCCGGTTGCAGCCCCGCTGATCTAAGGACACGGGCGGGAGAGGCTCCTGGCCTAGGTGTGCTCTCTTTTATTGGACCAACTAAAAGATTGGGCTCTTTGCAAGCTTTCGGGCACAAACACCGTCCCTCAGGCATCGGGAGGCTCGGTTAACCCCGAGCTGTTATATCACCTTCCCACAGCACCTCTCAACAGCTTCAAGCAGTGAAGTAGGACCAGGGGCCTCCCGCCCCACCCCCTGCCCTGATGCCGGCAGCCCCGAGGCCTCCTGGGACGGGGGTGGCTTTGCTCGGCGGGACGAGCTTTACTGACTCCCGTCGGCATTTCACGGCCGAAAGGAGCCGCTCCCGCTCCCCCAGTGCTGGGGGTCCGAGGGCCGGGGCACGGCGG